CTCAGACCCCTGTCTTATGTTATTCCACTCTCAGACCCCTGTGTTATGTTATTCCACACTCAGACCCCTGTGTTATGTTATTCCACACTCAGACTCCTATGTTATGTTATTCCACACTCAGACCCCTATGTTATGTTATTCTACTCTCAGACCCCTGTGTTATGTTATTACACTCTCAGACCCCTGTGTTATGTTATTCCACTCTCAGATCCCTGTGTTATGTTATTCCACTCTCAGATCCCTGTGTTATGTTATTCTATTCTCAGATCCCTGTGTTCTGTTATTCCACTCTCAGACCCCTGTGTTATGTTATTCCACACTCAGACCTCTGTGTTATGTTATTCTACTCTCAGACCCCTGTGTTATGTTATTCCACACTCAGACCTCTGTGTTGTGTTATTCCACTCTCAGACCCCTGTGTTATGTTATTCCACACTCAGACCTCTGTGTTGTGTTATTCCACTCTCAGACCCCTGTGTTATGTTATTCCACTCTCAGACCCCTGTGTTCTGTTATTCCACTCTCAGACCCCTGTGTTATGTTATTCCACACTCAGACCCCTGTGTTGTGTTATTCCACTCTCAGATCCCTGTGTTATGTTATTCTACTCTCAGACCCCTGTGTTATGTTATTCCACACTCAGATCCCTGTGTTCTGTTATTCCACACTCAGATCCCTGTGTTATGTTATTCTACTCTCAGACCCCTGTGTTATGTTATTCCACACTCAGACTTCTGTGTTGTGTTATTCCACTCTCAGACCCCTGTGTTATGTTATTCTACTCTCAGACCCCTGTGTTATGTTATTCCACTCTCAGATCCCTGTGTTATGTTATTCTACTCTCAGACCCCTGTGTTATGGTATTCCACACTCAGATCCCTGTGTTCTGTTATTCCACACTCAGATGTTATTCCACACTCAGACCTCTGTGTTGTGTTATTCCACTCTCAGACCCCTGTGTTATGTTATTCCACACTCAGACCTCTGTGTTGTGTTATTCCACACTCAGACCCCTGTGTTATGTTATTCCACACTCAGATCCCTGTGTTATGTTATTCCACTCTCAGACCCCTGTGTTATGTTATTCCACACTCAGATCCCTGTGTTATGTTATTCCACACTCAGACCTCTGTGTTGTATTATTCTACTCTCAGATCCCTGTGTTATGTTATTCTACTCTCAGACCCCTGTGTTATGTTATTCCACACTCAGACTTCTGTGTTGTGTTATTCCACTCTCAGACCCCTGTGTTATGTTATTCTACTCTCAGACCCCTGTGTTATTTTATTCCACTCTCAGATCCCTGTGTTATGTTATTCCACACTCAGACCTCTGTGTTGTGTTATTCTACTCTCAGACCCCTGTGTTATGTTATTCCACACTCAGATCCCTGTGTTATGTTATTCCACACTCAGATCCCTGTGTTATGGTATTCCACACTCAGACTTCTGTGTTGTGTTATTCCACACTCAGATCCCTGTGTTATGTTATTCCACACTCAGATCCCTGTGTTCTGTTATTCCACACTCAGACCTCTGTGTAAACAAATGAATGGGTTAAATTAATATAAGATATATACAACTTGTGACTTTATGTTTCTATATGGATTTCGATCAATTGATAGCTTTGAAGGTAACAATCCAACAGGCAGTTAGTATATTGTTTTGCGGCATTTCACTACAGGTCATATATTATACCAAATTCGATGTTTACAAAACACTAGTTGGTACAGAACATGTCGTTTCGTCCTTGGAATATACCTGTTTAATGTGGTAGAACAAGTCGAACGAAATCTTCGTTGTCATCTAAGATATTTCATTCACTCTCGTTAGCTATTTTCCAAACATAGGAAAAATGAGCGAAAAGTCGCTTTGTAGGTATAATTACAATGTTTTCTTTATCTTTATATAGACAATAAGGAGATATAGGTAATATTTATCTATATAGACAATGTGAGGTATAGGTAATAACTATCTATATAGACAATGTGAGGTGTAAGTAATATTTATCTATATAGACAATGTGAGGTATAGGTAATAACTATCTATATAGACAATGTGAGGTGTAAGTAATATTTATCTATATAGACAATGTGAGGTGTAGGTAATATTTATCTATAAAGACAATCTGGAGGCAAAGGTAATATTTATCTCTATAGATGATGTGATATATAGGTAATATTTATCTATATAGACAATGTGAGGTATAGGTAATATTTATCTATATAGACAATGTGAGGTATAGGTAATAACTATCTATATAGACAATGTGAGGTATAGGTTATATTTATCTATATAGACAATGTGAGGTATAGGTAATATTTATCTATATAGACAATGTGAGGTGTAGGTAATATTTATCTATATAGACAATGTAAGGTATAGGTAATATTGATCTATATAGACAATGTGAGGTATAGGTAATATTTATCTATATAGACAATATGGAGGTATAGGTAATATTAATCTATATAGACAATGTGAGGTATAGGTAATATTTATCTATATAGACAATGTGATGTATAGGTAATATTTATCTATATAGACAATTTGAGGTGTAGGTAATATTTATCTATAAAGACAATGTGAGGTATAGGTAATATTTATATGTAGATAATGTGGAAATATAGGTAATATTTATCTATATAGACAATAAGGAGATATAGGTAATATTTATCTATATAGACAATGTGAGGTATAGGTAATATTTATCTATATAGACAATGTGAGGTATCGGTAATGTTTATCTATATAGACAATTTGAGGTATAGGTAATATTTATATAAAGACAATGTGGAGGCAAAGGTAATATTTATCTATATAGATGATGTGATGTATAGGTAATATTTATCTATATAGACAATATGGAGGTGTAGGTAATATTTATCTATGTAGACAATGTGAGGTATAGGTAATAACTATCTATATAGACAATGTGAGGTATAGGTAATAACTATCTATATAGACAATGTGAGGTATAGGTTATATTTAAATATATAGACAATGTGAGGTATAGGTAATATTAATCTATATAGACAATGTGAGGTATAGGTAATATTTATCTATATAGACAATGTGAGGTGTAGGTAATATTTATATAGACAACAAGGAGATATAGGTAATATTTATCTATATAGACAATGTGAGGTATAGGTAATATTTATATAGACAATAAGGAGATATAGGTAATATTTATCTATATAGACAATGTGAGGTATAGGTAATATTTATCTATAAAGACAATATAGGTATAGGTAATATATATCTATATAGACAATGTGAGGTATAGGTAATATTTATATAGACAATGTTGAGGTATAGGTAATATTTATCTATAAAGACAATGTGAGGTATAGGTAATATTTATCTATATAGACAATGTGAGGTATAGGTAATATTTATATAAAGACAATGTGAGGTATAGGTTATATTTATCTATATAGACAATGTGAGGTATAGGTAATATTTATATAGACAATGTTGAGGTATAGGTAATATTTATCTATAAAGACAATTTGAGGTATAGGTTATATTTATCTATATAGACAATGTTAGGTGTAGGTAATATTTATATAGACAATAAGGAGATATAGGTAATATTTATCTATATAGACAATTTGAGATATAGGTAATATTTATCTATATAGACAATGTGAGGTATAGGTTATATTTATCTATATAGACAATGTGAGGTATAGGTAATAACTATCTATATAGACAATGTGAGGTGTAGGTAATATTTATCTATATAGACAATTTGAGATATAGGTAATATTTATCTATATAGACAATGTGAGGTGTAGGTAATATTTATCTATAAAGACAATGTGAGGTATAGGTTATATTTATCTATATAGACAATGTGAGGTATAGGTAATATTTATCTATAAAGACAATTTGAGGTATAGGTTATATTTATCTATATAGACAATGTGAGGTGTAGGTAATCTTTATATAGACAATAAGGAGATATAGGTAATATTTATCTATATAGACAATGTGAGGTATAGGTAATATTTATCTATATAGACAATGTGAGGTGTAGGTAATATTTATCTATATAGACAATGTGAGGTATAGGTAATAACTATTATATAGACAATGTGAGGTGTAAGTAATATTTATCTATATAGACAATGTGAGGTGTAGGTAATATTTATCTATAAAGACAATCTGGAGGCAAAGGTAATATTTATCTATATAGATGATGTGATATATAGGTAATATTTATCTATATAGACAATGTGGAGTATTAGGTAATATTTATCTATATAGACAATGTGAGGTATAGGTAATAACTATCTATATAGACAATGTGAGGTATAGGTTATATTTATCTATATAGACAATGTGAGGTATAGGTAATATTTATCTATATAGACAATGTGAGGTGTAGGTAATATTTATATAGACAACAAGGAGGTATAGGTAATATTTATCTATATAGACAATGTGGAGTATTAGGTAATATTACAAACGGACGGACAGAGAGACGACGGATCTGCATGTTTACTCGCTCATTTGTCGTATGCAAATCTTTAATGGGATACAACAAGGGCCTTTTCCCTATCTACGTGTTGCTTCATCACAGCCGGAATTACACGCTCTATGTTTTTACTTTTATAATAGCTGTTTTGTTGTACATTTGTATACACTTCTAACTTTTGTTTGCTTATAAGTTTTAGGATTCCACTGTAATTCCAGATCTGGTTTGTACTCCTTCGTATTCTAATTTTAACACAGAAAACTATACTAAAACATGCTGTGTAAATATTGACCTTCAGGCTGAAAGGAAGTCGACAAATTCTTTATAGAACTTAAATCGATGTTTCGTTTAGGTAAGCGGCAGGACAAAGGTATGTCTACGTGGTTCTTTGGAAACACAGACTGGCTCTGGGAGTGTTTTGACGTAGTACGGAATTCATATATTGAAACTGAATACAAAAATATGTTTCTCGGCATGTCTCCAACACTGCGTATTACACATAATATAGCATTGCTTCAATGATTAAACGGTAGCAACATGGCGGTAACACTGTCTGTTATCCCTGCATCCCCACCAAACATGGCGGTAACAATGTCTGTTATCCCTGCATCCCCACCAAACATGGCGGTAACAATGTCTGTTATCCCTGCATCCCCACCAAACATGGCGGTAACAATGTCTGTTATCCCTACATCCCCAACAAACATGGCGGTAACAATGTCTGTTTTCCCTGCATCCCCACCAAACATGGCGGTAACACTGTCCGTTATCCCTGCATCCCCACCAAACATGGCGGTAACAATGTCTGTTATCCCTGCATCCCCACCAAACATGGCGGTAACACTGTCTGTTATCCCTGCATCCCCACCAAACATGGCGGTAACACTGTCCGTTATCCCTGCATCCCCACCAAACATGGCGGTAACAATGTCTGTTATCCCTGCATCCCCAACAAACATGGCGGTAACACTGTCTGTTATTTCTGCATCCCCACCAAACATGGCGGTAACAATGTCTGTTATCCCTGCATCCCCACCAAACATGGCGGTAACAATGTCTGTTATCCCTGCATCCCCAACAAACATGGCGGTAACACTGTCTGTTATCCCTGCATCCCCAACAAACATGGCGGTAACAATGTCTGTTATCCCTGCATCCCCACCAAACATGGCGGTAACAATGTCTGTTATCCCTGCATCCCCAACAAACATGGCGGTAACAATGTCTGTTATCCCTGCATCCCCACCAAACATGGCGGTAACAATGTCTGTTATCCCTGCATCCCCACCAAACATGGCGGTAACAATGTCTGTTATCCCTGCATCCCCAACAAACATGGCGGTAACACTGTCTGTTATCCCTGCATCCCCAACAAACATGGCGGTAACAATGTCTGTTATCCCTGCATCCCCAACTTATGGTACTTAAATGTCAATGTTGATTCAAGAAGTCGTCAACTGACGGACAAACTCCTAACACAAGTTTGCAAAAGATGCAGGTTGGTGAAAATTTTGGGGAAGTTTACTGGTCGCCATAGTGATCTCATTAAGATATATTCTATGTCTTTGTGTGATACTAATTAAGCTGGACGTGTTTGATGCTCGTTATATTGCCTGTTGGTTCTGTTGTTGTATAACTTGTTCTCATTTGAGATCAAGGCATTACTTACTTGGATTGGCTAAAGTTTACATGGCGGATGTCGTCGATGAAGAAGACGCTTACTCTTTCGGAACAACTGGTCTTTATTCACCTTGTACTTTTTGCAGTCGTCTCTTTTGTTCCTATTTTGGTTAAGATTTTTCAGAAATTTGTGTTTGGATTGATAGATATTTGTCTGGTGATTACATTTAGAATGCGGCTTGATGTCATTTATTCTGTCATAAACCACGCTTCTTTCTGACTAGTTAACATGCTAGCATTGTCATGTAATTATATAGATATTGTGAAAACGAATCAGATGTAATGACGAACCAGAAGCAAAAGTTGACAGTAAATATATATAATGCAAAGGTTTTAACAGAGAGATTACAGACCTGTCGGTAATAATAACAAGTAACAATACTGTTTTATCAGAGACTTCCTGGTTACAGTTCGTCTGTTATATAAACAATGATAACAAATGATTGTTATTTCTTTATTACTGATCCTAAGGAATAAATACCATCTACGATAAGATATCAGATAGGATTACTGAGATGCAGTTTTAGTAGATTTTGATATAATACATTTGATCATGATATCATTTCGAGCTCTTTTTAAACCTTTTTCAGTTCTTTGTGTTTGAAAGTTAATTGGCGTGTTTCATTTTCTAAAACTGTTAGAACAAGCCGCTAATTGTTTACGTGTAAAATAAACAAAGGTCAGTTCCGGTCTACCTTTCCATTTTTGAGAGCGATCCGGCAATTTTCCGCCATTTAATTCACCTGATAATTAAGGAAAATGGCGGATATTCAGGTTTTTATTAGCTAAGACAGTTGTTAATGCTTCGATACCGGCGTTCGCTTTTACATACTTAATAAGGTAACATTACTACATTAATCTGTTCAAAGATCGAACGTTTACAATAGTGTGTCCCTAACTGATATCGGCTGATATCACTTTTATATCTGTAAATATAACCGATACATCATTACTTTGTACTGGGATATGTGACACTTAGATAAAATATATAAATACAGGTTATGTGACAGGTAACAAGTCAGGTAAATATAGGTTGTGTGACAGGTAACAAGTCAGGTAAATACAGGTTGTGTGACAGGTAACAAGTCAGGTAAATATAGGTTGTGTGACAGGTTACAAGTCAGGTAAATATAGGTTGTGTGACAGGTAACAAGTCAGGTAAATACAGGTTGTGTGACAATAATAAGTCAGGTAAATACAGGTTGTGTGACAGGTAACAAGTCAGGTAAATATAGGTTGTGTGACAATAATAAGTCAGGTAAATACAGGTTGTGTGACAGGTAACAAGTCAGGTAAATATAGGTTGTGTGACAATAATAAGTCAGGAAAATATAGGTTGTGTGACAGGTAACAAGTCTTGTAAATAAAGGTTGTGTGACAATAATAAGTCAGGTAAATACAGGTTGTGTGACAGGTAACAAGTCTTGTAAATAAAGGTTGTGTGACAGGTAACATGTCAGGTAAATATAGACTGTGTGACAGGTAACAAGTCAGGTAAATATAGGATGTGTGACAATAATAAATTAGGTAAATATAGGTTGTGTGACAGGTAATAAGTCAGGTAAATATAAGGTTGTGTGACAGGTAACAATTCAGGTAAATATAGGTTGTGTGACAGGTAACAAATCAGGTAAATTTAGGTTGTGTGACAAGTAACAAGTCAGGTAAATACAGGTTGTGTGACAATAATAAGTCAGGTAAATAAAGGTTGTGTGCCAGGTAACAAATCAGGTAAATATAGGTTGTGTGACAGGTAACAAGTCTGGTAAATACAGGCTGTGTGACAATAATAAGTCAGGTAAATACAGGTTGTGTGACAGGTAACAAGTCAGGTAAATACAGGCTGTGTGACAATAATAAGTCAGGTAAATACAGGTTGTGTGACAGGTAACAAGTCAGGTAAATATAGGTTGTGTGACAGGTAACAAGTCAGGTAAATATAGGTTGTGTGACAATAATAAGTCAGGTAAATATAGGTTGTGTGACAGGTAACAAGTCAGGTAAATAAAGGTTGTGTGATAGGTAACATGTCAGGTAAATATAGATTGTGTGACAGGTAACAAGTCAGGTAAATAAAGGTTGTGTGATAGGTAACATGTCAGGTAAATATAGATTGTGTGACAGGTAACAAGTCAGGTAAATACAGGTTGTGTGACAATAATATGTCAGGTAAATACAGGTTGTGTGACAGGTAACAAGTCAGGTAAATATAGGTTTTGTAACAGGTAACAAGTCAGGTAAATACAGGTTGTGTGACAGTTAGTGCGTCAGACAAACAACTTGTGTGACAAAAATAAATAGGTTACAATATTATCCTTTCTGTCAAGATGCAGTACAGGCAAGTAATTTGAAATGTCCATATTATGGTGAAAAATATAAGAAACCTCGTCTTTAAACGAAATCAGAAAGGTACTTAATTCTAATTAACATAATAAAAGTAACGTTTTCATTGTGTGGAAATGATTAAAGTTCATGTTATCATACTAGATATAGATAAATATAGTTATATGTACCTGTAATGATATGGCTCTAAGTTACACAACACCAGGTAAAAAACGTTGATTACAGGTGTACCGATAACAATAAACTACGGCCTCCATGTCACAGACCTGGGCGCACGTGTTATTGCTATCATAACAATGGAAATATTGGAAAACTTTCACCTGTCTGAGGACGCAATGGACTTCTATCAGCCTCTGTCACCCATGAACTCGCCCCTGGTAACAACGTTATACGTCACGCTGATCTTTAATCATAAAAAAACATTTAGAAATTCCTTATACATAAAATAATTATGTACTACAGGCGGAGGTATGAGTTGTGAAAGAGTATCTTTTCGTTTGGGATGTTGATTTGTGATTCATATTCACATTATTCAAGTCAGATATACCTACCCTGATATGTTTTATACTGTGGTGTACATTTGTAAATCACAGGAACATAAGAATTCAGTACAGTACTAGAAATATTTGGTATGAACTTTTCCCTCCTATTTCTACACGGATTTTAGCTGTATGGCCAATTTTTGATCGAGTTTCTTTTAAATATATCTGTACACTGTGACCAGTACAGGTGACGAGAAGAAGAGACGATCACACTCCTGCTATATCTGACGGCGGGACAGGCTAGTTGTGGGGAACCTCCCGAAGACTGGGGGTGCTTTCTCCTTCTAATGATACGGTCTGTTGTATTCCACTACATGATCGTTCGGGGCAATTCAATGTCGGCCTCAAGCAGAATCTGTGGCCTTCGTCCGTGTCTTCGCCGAGTATTACCTTTCTCTTATATCTTTCTGTTTTGTTTTCCACTCTTGAATGGTACTTCTAGACAGGCTTCTCCCTAGACACCTGTCCTCATATTACCCAGACTGTTGTTGTGTTGTCTCCCTAGACACCTGTCCTCACATGACCCAGACTGTTGTTGTCTCCCTAGACACCTGTCCTCATAAGACCCAGACTGTTGTTGTCTCCCTAGACACCTGTCCTCATATGACCCAGACTGTTGTTGTGTTGTCTCCCTAGACACCTGTCCTCATATGACCCAGACTGTTGTTGTGGTGTCTCCCTAGACACCTGTCCCCATATGACCCAGGTTGTTGTTGTCTCCCTAGACACCTGTCTTCATAAGACTCAGACTGTTGTTGTCTCCCTAGACACCTGTCCTCATAAGACCCAGGTTGTTGTTGTCTCACTAGACCCCTGGACGCCTGTCCTCCTATGACAGTGTTACATATATATGTGTGTTTTTGATCAACAAACGTGCCTTTACTGACACTCATATATAATGACTATTTGGAAATAAAATCAAACCCATTTTGTTTACATCTCTTCCGTAAAATGGATAAACCTGAAAATAGAATTAACAAACACTTACTTGGGTTGATTAATTAATTGTGGGCCTTGTATTGAAAAAAGTTAAGCAGGGATGTCCTTTTTCAGCTCTATTTTTCTCTCACTATTTAAGGCTGTGTACCTGAAGACTGGTATAATTTGGTCTGTTTTTTGAGGTAGCACTCTAAAGTAAACAAGGCAAGTGGCTTTTGCAAAATGGACAAAATCGCTGAAAGAGCAGTGATTCAATATTTGCATAAGAAATGTCTAGCACCTAAGGATATCCATACTGATATGGTAGCAACTCCAGGGAATGATGCCCATCCATATGCTACACTGAAAAGTTGGACGCCGGAACTTAAGCGTGGCATGCAGAGCATTGGGGATGACGCCTGTTATGGAAGGCCTGTCACAGATGCAACCCCAGAAATGGTTAATAAAGTCCATGATATTGTTATGGCTGACAGGTGAGTTACAGAGAGATATATAGCCAGCACAGTTGAGATTTCACAATAAAGAGTACATTCCATTCTAAATGAAGATCTTTCAGTGAGAAAATTCTCAGTCCGTTGGGTACCAAAACTACTGAAAGTTGATCAGACGTACACCAGGCCAACTTTTTCGCGTGCTAATCTGAACCTTTTAGAGACAGATCCTAATAACTTTCTACACTGGTTTCTGACCCTGGATGAAACACGGATCCATCATTTCATCTCAGAGATCAAACAACAGTCTAAATGATGGAAGCACCCTGATTCACCCCCGCCAAAGAAGGCAAAGACTGTTCCATCAGCTGGGAAGGTTATGGCCTCGATTTTCTGGGAAGCTCATTGTATTCTGGTGGTAGATTATCTGCAGAAAGGGACAAA